AAGATTGTTTGCGGAAAGATAAGGTAATAAAAACCTATCTAAACAATCTTTGGTTACACACAAAGCTTTAGCAATTACAAGAAAAGAAGTTGCTAAAAGAAAGATATTTTACTTAAGCTAGAAGATGCTTGAAGTAAGAATAAGGTTAGAGAGAGAGAGATGCGCGCTCTCTGGATGGAGAAGAAACACTTCTATTTAKACCCAGTGCATTAAATGATCATTTAATGCAATATGGTAGGTTTAGAGTGCGTGTAAAACCTTAAGAGGAAGGCTTGTCCTTTGCTACAGTGAATAGTACAAAACCACTATTTCTAAGCAGACATCCTTACCTAAAGTTGGTGGACAAATATTCGACTAATCGGCTCCGTACCGTACTAACTTTTGTAAGGGTATGGTTTTGTCCTTTGTGTGCATAAGGACAAGACAACAACAATCGTGCTAAGCAAGTTTCCTTTGATCGCTGAATGATGGAATGACTTAAAGGTCTCATCATCATTCGCTGAAGCTAGAGCAGTCTTCACACATATATAGACAGACTTGTAATCACTAAATAGCGCTTCAGATCACGTACTCGCCGGTCTCTAATCTTCATTTTCAATCTTCGACGTTTGCTGAAGGTTCTTTGGTGTGAGTGTTGTCTTCTTGAAATATTGCTGTCTCTGATAGATTTATAATGCAAGTTCTTCAGCGATCACTGAACATACTCAGTGAAGATCGCTGGAACTGAAAATACAGAAACACAAATACAACATGAAAGAGAAAAGGGATTATCATCAAATCACTGAGAGGATCAACATACTGTTTTCTAACAGTTTAAGGATGCGTTTTTATGATTCTGGATTTGGAAACTGTTTTGGAATGATAAAGAAGATTTTTGCTTAAAACAGTTTATGGATGACTTCCTATTTTGAGGATTTAAAGGAGATTTTGTGTTTGGAAAAGTTGTTAAAAGAACTGGTTGTTCTTGAGTTTCAAAGTTTTGAAGCTTAAACTATTTTGAAACCATTACTGGTTAAAAACTATAGAGGACATTCCTTCAAGAGGGTTGTGACTTCGGTCTGTCTTCGTTTGAAATTAGTCTATAGATTTTGGTGGATAAAACTATGGAGACTGTTTAATCAAGCTGGTTGTGACTTCGGTCTGTCTTCATTTGGAACTAATCCATAGATTTTGATAAGGAAATAAGGGTGGCATATCAAGGAGAGGTGTACCATGGGATAAGGGTGGCATATCAAGGAGAGGTGTACCTTCGGTTATAAGGGTGGCATATCAAGGAGAGGTATACCTTTGAATATAAGGGTGGCATTTGTGTGTAGTTATTATATCTCTTGCTATTATGTCTCTTAACATTGCAAGAGATTTGAGTTCTTACTTCTTTGTGATTTGAGGACTCAGAGATGTTGCTCTTATCAGAAATGATAGTATTGATGTTATCGAGAATGAGAAAACTTGGCTTATGGCCAATGGTTTTGAATGAACTCAGTTTTGAAAAAGTGTTTGATTTATGATGAACCAGAGAGGAGGTTCTGGTTGTTCCTTGAAAGGAACCAAAGGGGCTCTGGTTGGTCCTCACAATAGAACCAGAGGGTTCTGATATCGGTTTGATATGAATACAAGTCCTTTTACAAAGATTTTACTTAAACCAGAG